GACTTCAATAAATTTAAAATCTTTTGATAATTTGCTCATGAGCTGGGCTGATGTTTACCTTTTTTTGCAAACATTTTATTCATAGGTGGATAATATATGGTGTTTTAAACATTTATTTTCAATCTTACGTACACTTTTTAGACAGAATAAGCTATTTTCAATGAACCTCAGGCACTTTACAAGCTCCTACATACACCCAATCTATATGCTAATAACAAAATGTTCATATGATTCATCGTACGAGGTCTCCTTACAATGCAGAAATCTCCTGAAGGATTTCTGTTTTATAATGTTTTGTTGAAGTTACTACATGCAGTTTAAAGTAGTAAAAGCCACATTTGTTTAAAGTTATCTGTAATTCAGCCTTCCCACACATTCAAATATGCCTACCTCCCTAATTCATTAGAAAAAATGAAATTTTGCAATATTCACAGCTACACATCTAGAGAGAATTTTCCTGTTAAATATGCACTGGAACATATACAGAAAAAATACAATGAAGTGTGAAAATAAATGATTTTGTGAGTGTGGACAAAGGAGAGTGAAGTGTCTCAAATCAATTTAAGTCCTGTAGGCACAATACACTGGTGAAAACTCAGTAAAATAGCCCTTTCCTCAAAAGGTGATGTCACTCACTTGGGATGACTGAGTTCTAATCGCTTGCTTGCAAAGTGATAATAAGTTTTTCCAATTAGACAGTCAGTTCCTAGGCCAAAGGGGTGGATGCTTCAAACTAGGGCATCTGGGATGAAGAGAAATGCCACGGCACAGATTTGGCATTTCTAAATCTTCCTTGTTTGTGGCCATGACTTTTCAGCATCCACATGTCAATTTTCTGCACAAGATGCTACTCTAAAGAATCTTAAAATTGTTTATAAAGTAAGTAGAAGAATTCTTTTATTTTAATGACCAAAACTCATACGTAGAACAAAATGACTCAAAATTCTAAACCAGGTAATATATATTTCACATTGACATAAACCACAACTGAACGAATAAATTGAACATTCTCTTTTCCATGAAACACACTGATGGCAAACCTAGATATTAGAAGTCATGCCATTTTCACACAAGAAGTAGTTCCATTTGTTTTTAATATTGTGAGAAGACGAGAACTATCCATATTAGTAGTTACTTACCATACAAAGGGGAAAAACGAGCTCCAATTCCATTTTCATGACTTAACCAAGAATACTTGCTGAAAGAGGACTCTGTCGTGTGTTTCTGGATAGTTACACAACCTGGGTAGGAGACAGAAACACAGAATGTTTCATCATCAAGGAGAAAACTTCTCAAGAAATACTAGTTTGTTCTATCAGCGATTTCTCATCCGAATGAGTGCTATCCCAACCAACTATATGCTATTTACAAATCAATCAGGTGCGAGTGGAATGACTACCACCATTAGGGAAAGAAGACCTGGGGCTGCATCCCACTGGGTATCGGTCTGCATGAAGCGAAGCTCCTTCACTTCACTCAGGCTCAGTTCCTTCATCTGCCTTGTGAGGGTACTAATGCCAGCTATTTGAGGGACTGCTCTCACAAGCAAATGAGACAATGTGTAGAAAGATGTTTAGTCAGCAGTAAAACTGTTTCATTTATTTACACTCTGACTCTGTTCTAAGGATCTGAGGTGGCTTCCAAAAAGAAAAATAATGAAATGTGAATAAAAATAAGAAAACAGGGACTTCCCTGGAGGTCTGATGTTTAAGACTCAGTAGGTTCAATCCCTGGTTGGGGACTTATGACCCCATATGTCTTGAAGTGTGGCCAAGAAAAGAAAAAGTGTTCAGAGTAAAATAGGAAGAAGTATATATGCTACCTACATTGGTTAGCACTTGATTAAAAGTATAGTTTAGATTTAAGTTTCTTGGTAAATTAGGGAAAAGGAAGACACAGTTTCTTCTTAATCTTCTATTAGAGAGGAAAAGATACATCACTTCCCCTAAAGAAGCCAAGTATTTTATCCTCTTGATATGAAATTCATCAAAAATTTAAAGCATGTAAAACATGATACAGGGGCACTGAGATAAAATGGATTATTCTATTTGACAGGAATAGGGCTGACGATGATGAAAACTGATGGGCAAAGGAGTACTTCTTTTTCTTGTTTGTGCTGGGTCTCTGTTGCAGTGTGTAGACTTCTCTAGTTGTGGCGCACGAGTTTAGTTGCCCTGAAGCTTGTGGGATCTTAGTTCCTTGACTGGGGATCAAACCTGATCCCCTGTGTTGGAAGGTGTATTTTTAAAAAATGTACCACCAGAAAGCTCTGAAACAGCGTACTTTTGCTTGGAGGTAGTTGGTGCATGTCAAGTTGCTTCAGTCATGTCCCACTTGAAGTGGGTCCATGGGGTCACAGCCCGCCAGGCTCCTCTGTCCATGGGATTCTCCAGGCAAGAGTACTGGAGTGAGTTGCCATTTCCTCCTCCAGGGGATCTTCCCGACCCAGGGATTGAACCCACATCTCTTAATGTCTCCTGCAGTGGCAAGCAGGTTCTTTACCACTAGCGCCATCCATTACCGCTATGAAAATTGTCTTACTCCTAGAGACACACCAGAAGCTTGAATTAGGGTAACTCTAAGCACAGTTCGCTCCCAACTCACAAGTTTCATCCAAATCTCTTCCCTTGCCGTGCCTTCCTAACAAATACATAGGAGCTCCTGAGCTGAAGTCACATTCTCAGCAGTGAAGAGAAATTTCTGAATGAAGTCACTGATGGCTTGTGACCCTAGGCCAGTCAGTGTTCATTAATATAAATAGGGGGTAGAGCTGCAAAGATCTTGAGCCCAAATATGATACAGTACTGACAGCTGCACAGCCCATTTTGTGGGGCCATTTCAAAAGGGAAAGGATGAGACAGGGAAAGGTATATGATCATATGATCACACTGTAAGTGAAACACATCCCAGCACGAGGCTCTTCCTTGAAATCCACGTTTTCCTGACTTCCTTGAAATCTCACTTAAATTTTTTTTTTCCTTTGAGTCTCTGAGCAAGTAATAGCTGGTCTTTCTGCTGTACCACTTGGAATATACTACATAAGAGTTCATATGCACTGAAATGTTTGTAGATTTTCCACCTTCTCTGCTGTCTGGAAGCCCAACTCCAATTAAAATATATGTACTATTAAAAAAAAATTATTTTCTTGGCCCCAATGCATGGCATGTGGGATCTTAGTTCCCTGACCTGGGACTGAACCCGTGCCCCCTGCATTGGAAGCATGGAGCCTTAACCACTGAACCACCAGAGAAGTCCCAGTCTTGCAGGAAACTCCTCTCAATTTTCTTCTTCTGGCTCCTCTGCTTCCTCCCCCTAAGCATGGGTCTTCCTTCCGGTTCTCCACTTGGCAGCAATTTCATTCACACCCACAGCTTAAACTGTCTTTTTCTGATGCTTCTCCAGGCTGGATCCTCCTCCCCCACCCTCTCCTGAATTTGCTTTTCCTTTCCTGCCTGCCTAACATCAGTGGTATTGTCACCCTCCGTGGCTTGAACACTTGGAGTCATCTTCAGTCTTCTCCATCGCTGCACCTCTATACAGAACATACCCCCTGACTATGGCCACGTGGCACACAAACGTCCTTTCCCTTTTACATGTCAAAGTCCACTGTGATCAATAATACATCCAGCCTCCATCATCTCCCTTCCAGGCAGTGGCCTCTTTTCTCATGCACCCCTACTTCCAGTCACCATCATTTCCCAGGCTTCAGGGTGGATCCCAGTTTTCTTCCTAAACCCTCGTGCTTCCCCACTTGCTTGAAAGTGTCCAATATTTCTCTAGTCCCTAGCAGATCAACTCTAAAACTTCTCAGCAAAGAAGTTTCCAATAGCTGAGATCAGTACATTGACCACATTTCACATAACCTTTCTAGTCCTACTAAACCATTTCCCCTCTCTGTAGCCCTTTCCCCAAAAGCTATTTCCTGCCTCCATGACTTTGTTACTAGCTTTCTGCTTCTGAAACGTTCATCTCTTAACACCCAGTTGAGACACTACCTCTTTCAGGCATTGTCTTGAATTCTTGAGTAGAACGCACTGTACCCTCCTCTACAAACCCAAAGATCCTTAAATGTACTCTCACTACAAGATTCATATTTATAATACTCTGGCTTTATTTTCAATAGCTATAAATACAGCAGTGCAAAGAGCTCTCAGAAAGTTTATAATCTAGCTAGGGAAACCCTGCTTTATTCACATTTCTAACTTCCATGGTGTAGTATTTCATGCTTGAATATTGTGAATGCTCTATAAATAATAGGTGATTAGATGATTTTTAAATGTCAGATAGCACCATGGAATGCTCTGAACACAGGGGTAAGACACCATTTTAGAAACTCTTTTCTGGCAAGACTGTCCAAATTTGGAAGACAAAGGTAATGAATGAGGACCAAGAAAAAGCCCCAATATAGGTAGAAGTGTTACTTTTCTCTCTCCATTATTTTTAACAAATTTGTTTGATCAGTTTATAAAAATCAAGTTAGTGTTTATACCTGAGGAAAAATGTTGCATTTAAAAAAATCAGATCACAGAATAGTCCTTAGGCGTTTGAGGTTATTACACAGAATATATCTATGGCAAATTGCCCATTAGGGATTGAAAATGTCTTTCCAGTAGGTGCCTGTCCCCCTGCCTCATACGCATAAGATAGTTTACTGTTTGTTGAATGCATGAGTGCTGAGTCATCCACTTCTCTCTCGACAGCTGCCCTCCAATAGCTCTATTCCCCTTTACAGCCAAACCATTGTAAATAATTACCACGCTCTTCTTCCTTCCCTTACTTCCTGTCTGGTCTGCAGCTCACAGGACCTGAGTCTCACCTCTGCCTTATCTCAGTGCTCACTGTGCTGGGACCCTCCCTGGACTCCGCTCCCTCAGGGTGGGCTCACTCTTTGGTGCTGTCGAGGGACAGGGAGGGAAGTTGAGGCTGCCACACATGCCACAGAAGCTGCTGAGAACATTCTCTGTAGTGTCCCTGCCCACGGCCTCTCCCTTCCCCCAGCCATGCCTGCAATGGGTGAGGCCAGCCAACACTGCTTCATGAATGTTTGGTTTATTTACGCCACTCACAAGAGCACCATTAGGTAGGTGAACAGGCAGCTCATAAAGTCCTCTAGCCGCAGGTTTGCATTTTCTCTCCACATCAGACCCCAGAACCTCGGACTGTTTTGTGTATAAGTTCCACCGAGCTACGCTTTGTCTCTAGTGCTCACCAACATGTCAAAATGACTTTCCTGTCTACCATGCCCACTCCCTGAGCGTCTTAAGATAGATGTAAACTATGAACATGTGAAACAGTCTCTGACATGCTTGACTGCAGTCAGAACTGGTTACAGCTCTGTTACCCAGACATATCATTTAGTAATGTGTGTATCTGCTCACTCAGTCGTGTCCAACTCTTTGTGACCCCATGGACTGTAGCCCGCCAGGCTCCTCTGTCCATGGAATTTCCCAGGCAGGAATGCTGGAGTGGGTTGTCATTCCCTTCTCCAGGGGATCTTCCCGCCCCAAGGGTCGAACCCACGTCTTGGGTGTCTCCTGCATTGGCAGGTGGATGCTTTACCACTGAGCCATTTCTCTTTAATTCAAAACCAATGTCTCCTTTCTCAGCCTTCCAGAGTCAAGGCAACTGACTCCCCCCACCTTCTCAAAATGGAATCCTGCTCCCTTGCCTCCATGACCCAGCAGTCTCCTGGCTTCCTTCTCTTTCTTCTTCTGCTCCTCCTTTCAACCTTAACACTCATCCTAAGTGAAGGACCATGATGGCCACGGTGGATTTGGATTCCTCAAGGCTTTGGTCCTAGCATGCTCTGCCATTGCTGACTTTATTACCTTTCTCTGCACATCATCTCCCTCTGTGGATCCTATTGGTCATATCCAGACCTGTGAATGTGAAGATGCGTCCCAAGTTTCTATTTCCGGTTGGGACTCCAGAGCTCTCTGACCAGCTTCACACCCATAACCAAATGTCTGCTTGCTCTACCCAAGCCGTCTCAAACTCAGCATGTCCAGCACTGACTTTAGCCTCAGTCTTCACAGGCTTGTTCCTCTGCCAGTGTTCCTCGGCACCTTCCTGTGGGCTCTACATAAATACCGCAGAAGACAAACTGTCAGTTTTACCTTCTGGGTATCCTTAGAATCCACTGACAGCTTAGAATTCATCCTTCCTCCCCTAGGCCAAGTTACCAGTACCTCTCTGTTCAAAAAGTTCAGCTGATCTTCGTAACTTAGGCCCCTTGCCAACCAGTACTCTTCATTGTAGCCAGAAACACTTTCTTGAAACATAAAATTGATGATGTGACTATAATCCTCTCCCTCAAAAAGCCCCCCAAACCCACCTTCTTATTCGTTTTAGGATAAAGGAATACGCCCTGCTATGGCTGAAAAGCCTTTCATGGTGATAACCTTTGAGTGCATCTGCAGACTCCAGTTGTTCACCCTACTCTGTCCTCTGGCCACTCGCCTTTCCTTGTCTCTCGTGTTGCCCCTGCTCTCTTCTGCTTTCTGTAAATTATGACTTTCCCATACGTCATGCTTTCCTCCAATACTCTTTGTCTAGTTGACTCTTGTACATCATGTAGCTCTCGTTTTCTAGAATCGTGTGTCTCTCTTTAGTATCATTTAGAATGGTTGCATTTTCATAACTATTGTGTCATTCTCTTTTTTGAAATTATATTTTTATTCATTTGGCTGCAACAGGTCTTAGTTGCTGCATGCAAGATCTTTTAGTGGCAGCGTGTGATCTCTGAGTTGTGGCATGTGAATCCAGTTCCCTGATCAGGGATTGAACCAGGCCCCTGCATTGGGAGCACAGAGGCTTAGCCATTTGACCACCAGGAAAGTCCCGTATTTGTGTCATTCTTTTACCCTCTGTCTTCCCCACCAGCTTGAAGGCCAAATGAGGGCAGAGAATACCTGATGTAATTCACTGCATCCTAATGGTGTCTGGCACATAGTATGTGCTCACTAAAGACAACTTTATTGAAAGCATGAGTGTATGAAATGAATATGAAAATAAACCTAAAGTCAGCAAGTAAAATGTTCTAGTGTTGAAAAATTCTAAAATAAGCACAGTATTGAGATGAGTAGCAAGAACGCTGAAAGCTTTAGATGGATTTAAGAAATTAAAGTAGGAGGACTTCCTTTCTCACCCAGATTCAGTAGTGGGTAGATAGGAATGGTAGAGAATTTTTAATGAAAAATTTCACCTGGATTGAAAAGCAACTGATTTTAGTACATAAAAAATATGCTAAGGTATGAAGGTAGTAAGTACTTTCTAATCCAATTCCTGCTATTTTTGCCACTGCATATATTGAACCAGAGCCATCACAAGGGCAGGGATAGAGGATTAGGACCAGAGACAAGGAGAGATGAGATTTCAAAAACCATTTATGTTTCTGGATTGTGGCTACTGGGCTGGATATGCCTTTTTCTATCTTTGCTTCTAAAATTCATGTCATTACATGTACTATAATTGTCTCTGCTTCCATATGGTGACAGAATTCTATCCACTGTATCAAGATCTCAGTACACTGGCAAAGGGAAAATGTTACATCAGTTGTTTTCCCTCAGTTACATTACAAGTACAGGACACCCCCCTCTCCCCAATAATGAAACACAAATTTCCTCAATTAGAATAGTATCGGTATCGTGAATGTACTTTTGCAATTACGAGAGTAAAAACATTCCACATTGAAATAAGAAATGCCATCTGATTTCAATTTAACACAAAGGGGAGAAACACATTCCATTTAAGAATGACAAATAAAGCTGTCAGTGTGATCCATTTATAGCCCCTCAGAGAATGCCACAAATCCACAGAATGTTCTGAGGAGCTAGTTATTGTATTTGCTCTGTCGAAGAGAAGGCCTGGAAGTCTCTGACGGTCTGCTAGCCAAGGAAACTAAGGTTAGCTGGAAGAATGTGCAAATTTAGTCAGCATCCTAGGTGTACACCCCTTAAAGGGGAGCATGAAAGTGCTGGCCGTTGCCTGCAAATAGTGTGCCTCAGCAGGAGGGGTGGAGTGCTTCTGGATACACCCTTGTCTTTGTCTGTTCCCCACCCCTCTGCCCTTGCATTACTGTTATTCAGTCACTCAGTCCGGTCAGAATCTTTGCAACCCCACGGATCACAGCAAGCCAGGCTTCCCTGTCCTTCACTATCTCCTGGAGTTTGCTCAAACTGGATCACAGCAAGCCAGGCTTCCCTGTCCTTCACTATCTCCTGGAGTTTGCTCAAACTGGATCACAGCAAGCCAGGCTTCCCTGTCCTTCACTATCTCCTGGAGTTTGCTCAAACTTATGTCCCCTGAGTCAGTTATGCCATCCAGCCATCTCATCCTCTGTCACCCCCTTCTCCTCCTGCCCTCAACCTTTGCCAGCAATGGGGTCTTTTCTAATGAGTTGGCTCTTTGCATCAGGTGGTCAAAGTATTGGAGCTTCAGCATCAGTCCTTCTGATGAACATTCAGGGTTGATTTGCTTTAGGAATGACTGGTTTGATCTCCTTGCTATCCAAGGGACTCTGAAGAGTCTTCTCCAGCACCACAGTTCGAAAGCATCAATTCTTCGGTGCTCTTTATGGTTCAACTCTCACATCTGTATGTGATCTAGAAGGGTCTTAACTGGCCAAATGAGGCCTCTCTCTGTTAGGCCTACTGCTAACAAAAATTACAGAGAGGCATCAAATCTTGATTATAAACATCCACGGTGCTAGTTATTTTTGAAAATATTACTATAGGTTATTTCCAGCTCAGGCACAAGGTCACTTATCAAAAACAAACAGTGGAAATATAATCATAATCTCTATTCCTTATTCCTGCACTCAAGCTTCCTTCTTTCAAGCAGCAGTGTGCTGTTAAATATATATACATATATTCATATATAAGTGTATATAAAATATGACCCTCTGCAAGGCATAACTGATTACTTTTTCTCCTTTGCATTGGCTGCTAAAAAACCGTGAATAAAATTTGTTACTATCTTCTAGCAAGAATGTTGAATTTCATGGCATAAATTTTGAGTATGAATCTCTCTCCTGGCCCTATCTTACATTCCTAGCCTTATTTTTTTTCTTTTGACTCATTTTTTCCTACCTATTTGAAATATATTTTATGTTGCTCTACAGTATGTATTTTTATTAGCCTTTCTCTATAAGCTTTAAATCCTTTCCACCATATAAATAAAACATACAACATTTATAGATAGCCTTTTTTTTTTCCTCTGGAGGGTTGCAAAATTTTCCCAGAGCAACACAATTCATTACCATAAATGAACATTAAGACACTGATATTCATAGTAATTAAATTTTTTTGTGATATTTAGCTCAATATTTCAGTTAGGTTTTCTTAATATTTATGCATACACTTTTATTGCTGAAATTCCTAGCCTGAGGTCCATGGACTCTCTCAAATTATATGCAAAATTTTGTGCATATAAATTTTTATTATGGGGGAGTTTCATTTTAATCCAATTCTGAAAGGTAAATTTGACTCAAAAGATTAAAAATATACTCTTTTGCACTGGAATAACCCCATAAGACCAGATCTGGGTCTTTTGGCATTCAACTAAATGACAAAATATTTTTTGACTAACTACTAAGTGTCTAGCAAGGGCTTCTCTGGTAGTTCAAATGGTAAAGAATCTGCCTTCAATGCAGGAGATCTAGGTTCAATCCCTGGGTTGGGAAGATCCTCTGGAGAAGAAAATGGCAACCCACTCCAGTATTCTGCCTGTAGAATCCCATGGAGTCTGGCAGGCTACAGTCTATGGGGTCGCAAAGAATTGGATATGTCTGAACGACTAAGCACAAGTGTATAGCACTGTTTTAATTGCTCAGAAAACAGCAATAAACATGTAGACTTGACTCTGACCTCAGGGAACTTTTAGTCCAGTGGGGATGAGGGAAGGCAATGAAAATAACAATGTGAAATATTTGGATGGTAATGTACTGTAATAAATAAAACAAAGTAATGTAATAGAAAATGAATGAGATTGGATGGTCAGGGACAACCACTCTAAGGAGATGTAATCTTAGCTGAGCGAAGCAAGACTGGAGAGAAAAGCATTCCAGAGAGAGAGACCAGC